GACTTTCGTAGTCTGTACTTTGGTATTCATCTCTGATATATCTTGGTGTCATCCTTAAAATCCTTTAAAATTCTCTTAAAATTTACTTTGGATTTAAAAAAAAAAAACTTTTGAAAATCTATCACAGACAAATACATTTTGAAAGTTTCCAAGATTTACAATTTATTTTCTGGGAAAGGAGGTATATTTTCCCCAATAAATTGAAAGCATTTCCCAAACGTTTTCCTGGTGTTCTAAAGTTTTGCGGTTCACTGGTCCCTGGTTAAAATTTTCAATGTTTTAACAGATATATATTTTTTGATTAAAACTACTGTAGACTTTCTTAGTGCCAGGTACTCAATTTAAACATTTTGTTGGTATTTTTAAATTTCGCTCTATTTTAGTAGTGAAAAAGTTACTTTAGTGACTATTTTTAGGGAAATAGTGACTTTAGTGACTTTTTGGTGTAAAAAGTGACTTCTTAGTGACTGGCTTCAAAATAGTGACCAAGTCACTAAAAAGTGACCTGCTACCAGCCCTGCATCACCCTTACCCACTGAACTGTAGATGATATGAAACTATGAGACATGTTTGCCCCATATAAACTATGCGTCCTTTCATATGCCATTTTTCATTCCATCTTTGCGCGAGTGAAGCTTTGCAATCAGATTCTGCCACAAAGCAAATAACACTTCGGGCCGAATATTATGGTTTCCATCGTCTATAGTCATCTTCCGAGGCGCTTTTAGAATCGTCATTGCAAGCATCTTTCAATGCATCACAAGCATCTCGTGTGCAGAATTTATTGAAGGTGGGTGGACGATACCTACTCGTTAGAGGAATGGAAGTCAAGTTGTCAAGCGAAGTGTCCATTTTATCGAGCGAATCATTGTATGTGGATACAAATATTTCACCACAACTCTTGCAGTTTCGGTTATATGAACCACTTTTAATATTTATTTCCCATTTCTTTTCAATGTTCTAGCCATAGAATGGCATTTGTTAAAAATTTAAATGCAACCAACAACAACAAAATAGAAACATTACCAATACTGATTTACGGCTATAGTGTATTCTAAATGCTGATCTGGCAATGAGTATTTTCATAGCTTTTTGCATGCTGATTTACAACAAATAAGCATTGAAAATGCCTATATAATGCAAGAAGCATATGCGATGCAAATATAAGGTTGATATGCTGCAAATTCTAATGCTTGGTGGTAACCTCGGCACAGTGAAAATTTTTAAAAATATTATCTTTTAGATATTTCTTGTATCCACCACACAGAAAAAAAATCTTCTAAAACCGGTAATTTCGGTAAATGTTATATCCTATGTCAGATCTAAAAACAGCTTGAATCTTAAAATTTTTATGGTGGTAAGTTCCCACCGGTATTATCCATGGATTAAATCTTGATTAAGAATGTCCGGCTGCTTTGATGTTGGCATCAGAGTTAATCAACGCGACTTTAAGCAAATATTTTGCAGATCATCCAAACAAGGAAGTATTATAAGTTAATCCAAAGAAGAATACTAAGATGAAACAGTCGGAAGAAAAACTTTCTATTTTAGTGTCTCATTCAGGGTCCCTTTCATCCAATGAATATATGCAAGGTAATTTTGTGGTTTTGCTGTCCCCTCGGTAGAGATGAAATTTTGCGCTCTTTTTTATCAAAACAATCACACCAAAATCAGAGATGTCCCATTTTTTAAATTATTCGATTAACATCTAATCGATCATTTTTTGTTCGCTGTGTTGTCATTTTTCCACCAATAATGAGAGTGCATCACATGTTTGAAACGATGGGTGATGATCCTCTGGAGAAGTTAATGCTTATATCAGCATGATATAACCGGTTACAAATATTTTACTTTTCGGTTCGTTAATCGATTAATCGATTATTCGAATGAAAATCGGCCATCACTAGTTGAATGTGAAACGTCATTTCAAATTGAAGGCCGTACATAAATAATGATAAATTTGAAAGGGACCGGGGCTAATCACAAATTACGTCCCCATGGTAACTGAAATAAACACGAGTACGGACCGATTGGTTAATCCGAGTTGGAGCTTACACGGTAGCTCGCAACAACTCAAAATTGAGTCGAACATGCTTATTTCAGCGGGAAGTATGGCTACTCAAAACTGAGTAGGCGCATTTTTACTCACTTTTGAGTAAACGACGTTTTCGCGCAGAGTGAGTCAAAACCACTCTGTGATATTTTCAGCCGAGAAGTTTGTTTTTTTTTTTTAATTTGTTTTGATAAAAAATGGAAATCACCTGCTGCAGATTCTTTTTATTGGAGTCCGGATTTGGCTGACTGAGTGGCGTGTACTCAGTTTGACATTTCTCGTTTACTCAAATTTTGACAACCTAATCCATCGGACGAAACTGAGTACGATCGACTCACCCGGTGAGTAAACTGAAGTAAGCGTGTACCGCCATTAGTGTGTTACACATAGCAATGGGTGATGTTGGATCAAAACACAAAATATCGTTTCTTTTGGTTCGATTAATAAAAAATCTATTCGATCTCAAACACGACAAAAATCGACTGGATCGATCCTTTTCATTCGATTTTTGTTTCGATCAAAAACGAAATTTTCAGTGCATTTGCATTTGCAATTTAATATTGATTTTTTTTCCTTGTCTTCACCTTTGCACATCACTTGCCTTGAACATGGATTCTTCAAACGACCAGTGTGAAAGTTCATAACAGCAATTTATAAAATAACGAACATTTTGAATGGCTGATATCAGTAATGAATTTGAGACTCTTTAGTAAATGTAAACAAGGGTTCTGTTTACCGCTCATTGCATAGTCGATATACTTACTGTCTTAATTGTTTACATTTTCTAAACATTTAACTTTGTCCACCTACAGTATTGTAGATTTCAGCAAAAATATTGAGAATTAAGAATTAAACTTTCCGTGTATTATTGAGTGCTGAAAAAGTGCTTTATTTGAAACAAATTAACTTAAAATATATCAGCGGCGACAGTGGTGTAGTGGTAAGCGTGACTGCTTCTCACCCCAAAAGGCCTGAATTCAATCCCAGTCGGCGCCGCCGGGATGTTCTGAGGCATAAAATCTCTGATCACGCCTTCCTTCAAGGGATCAAGGGAAATACAGCCGTTCGTCCCCGGTCCCGGTCTATGAGTTAATGAGTCGATATGTAGGGTCCAGGTGTGGGAGCTGTCTCTCTGGCGTCGGTAGCATTGGTACTCAGTACGAAAAAACAAGATCGTTGTCCTGCTCGAAAGTGAACTTTTTTGCGATGGTATTTGCGCAAAAAAGGCATAAGAGAACCTTACAACACATGGATGTAGTTCTTACTATTCATTTTGAACGATGTGGGGCCTCCCTTAGCTCAGTCGGTAAAAGCGCAGCTACAATGCAAGACCATGCTGGAGGTGGCTGGGTTCGATTCCCGGTCCGGTCTAGGAATTTTTCGGGTTGGAACATTTCTCGACTTTCCTGGGCAGAGTATGATTGTACTTGCCACACAATTCTACTAATGCAAAAATGGTACAGGCATCGAAAGCTCTCAATTGACAACTGTGGTAGTGCATCTAGAACAAATTGAGAGCACGTAATAAGCTCATATGCGATTAGTAATAAGCTTGAAATGGAAGGAAGAAGAAGCCAAAGCTATTTGAGGTTTTAGGATAAAGCGCCGAGTGAGCGACGATTTTGAATATAGCTTAATTTGTATTTTGCCCCTTCAACATTTAATAATTTTTAGGTGACATAAAATTAAAAATAACATTTGCATCCATGTTTAGCATTTGTGAGTCATATGTGTGTTTATACTAATAAAAATGACCTTATTAAACAAAGATCATATGCCAGCAGAATGCAGGCTTTGTATTAATACTTATGGTTACTTGGGTCCTCTCATTAATAGACTCCCATTTGATGAGCGTAACATTTGTCTGAACGCTAAGTATGAGACCAACTCCACGAGGCCGGGGAGCGTTTTCACCGCTAATAGGGTAAGCGCTTCCATAGTTGCGGTTCGCTAGAAGTGTTAGGTATGGAGTTTCCATACACAACTATAGGAACCTAACGCTTCTAACGTACCGCAACTATAGGAGCGTTTACCCTACCAGAGTAAAAACAGTACCTGTCTTGATGGCAGTTTGTGTTCTCCAAAGTACGGCCACCGGAGTTCGCAGAAGTTCGAGTTGTGTCAGCTAACCCCATTGGGGTAACGTTTACATATACCGTGGTTTATTTTTTGAAAATGTCATCTAATATGCACTATTTTTCTCAGCCGTCATTTTGATTAAACGAGATTTTTTCGTATTACAATTAATTGATACATATCGAATATGCTATTTTGAAAAATGAGGCGTAAGTCAAAACGGCCGATTTCCAGCAAAAGTTTGAATGATTGCTCATAGCGAACAATTATTCAAAGTTTCATAAAAATCAGAGAGGGTTAAACCTGATTTGTTTTTCGACATTTACCCAGGATTGTTGCTCTGTTCTTTCAACCATTTCATCGTGTTTAACCACTTCTGGATTTTCACTGCTATATATGTTTTTTATTGCAATGGTATCGGCTTATTCGAACGTTTTAATTACTCTTTTCATGTGTCAGGCAATTTTGCTTTGTCAATATCATTTTTTGGTACGATTTGGCGTTGTAGTGCCGTTTTGTAGTTTGTCACAGTTTTTAAGGCTACTATCGAGGGTTTCTGGCCATTTTGCGCTTTTTTAACTTTTGTTTGGTTTTGGTTATGGTCATTTTGGTTATTTTGCCGTTTTAAAATTATTTCGACTTTTAAAGACGTTTGATTTTTCCGTGGCTTTTTGGTATAAAGGACATTTTGTCCTTACAATATCAGTTTTCAACATTGGTGGGTAGCGAATTGATGGAATATCTCAAAGTGGTTCGCAATCAACGAAAATTTGAGAACCACTGATCTAGATCACGATAGAACTTGAATAATTATATTTGTTATGGATTAAAGGTGCTCTAAATGGAAACTTTTCACTTGTCTTCTTTTCAGATTGGGAAAATTTCAGCAATACAATCTCGATGATGAACCGCTAAATTTGTGGTTAGTAGCTTGCTTCCCCGGAGTTCAGGACAACTTCATACGAGTTTCCCGCCAGCTAACTTTCCATCAGATATACCCAAAGCATCAAGATGGCGATCAACTTCTCTGCTTCATTCGCTGCATGCCTGGCTGCGGGTCTCAAAGTACCGCGACAGATTATGTATTGCATTTCTCAGGACACGCCTTACGTTCTCTACAAAGATTCACAGGAAGCAGCTGAACGCACAGCCGCTCTCGGAGGTCAATGGGGTGGTGAAATGTATCCAGCATTGCAACAAAGCGCTCATGTACCACCTCAACATAACGGTGCTCATCAAATTGCGGCAGCGCAGCAAGCACAGCAACAGGCACAGCAGCAAACTCCTAACAGCCCGCCGAACCAGGACAACAGGCCTCAACAACCGGGTGAACAAGCCAACGGCCAACTACACAGTCCAGCTACTAGTCCTTACCCGCAGAACCACGGTCCAGAAATGGACGAAAGAATCATCAAGGTAAAATCTACATCACTCAATAATGATAGTAAAATCTAACCATTCCGCATTTTTCAGGCTCAAAATATGCAACAGAACGTTCATCAGCAACAAAATGGACAGGTGAATCACGTTCCATCCACTGGACAAACGACATCACCGTCGCAAAATATCGAACATTCGAATCAACATCCTGCTCAAAACGGACAAAATCATCCAAATCATACTTCCCAACCGCAACACCCATCCAGTAACCCAGGGGCTGGTCAACAACAGCAATCTCAGCAACAGCAACAGTGTTTCCCAGAACCCGTTCAACCGGAACTAAGTTATTACGCACAACGTCACCATGGGCCACAAGGAGCAATGCTTCCGCCACCAGGATTCACGCCACTACATCACTATTTGAACAAATCAGGTGTTTTGTCAGGAATGCCCGCCGGAATGGAACAGGGAAATCCATTGGAACAATATGCTATGCCAGATCTACTTCATGGTAACCAGGTTCATCATGCCAACTCGAACGGAACGCACAAATCCAAAGGATCGGATCTAAGACTGTTCAAATGTCTAACATGCGGGAAGGATTTCAAGCAAAAGAGTACATTACTTCAGCATGACCGCATCCACACCGATTCTCGTCCGTACGGATGCCCTGCCGTAGAGTGTGGCAAACGATTTCGTCAGCAGTCGCATTTGACGCAACATCTCAGAATACATGCAAACGAAAAGCCATTCGTGTGTCCTATCTGCCAGCGAGCATTCCGACAACGAGCCATACTGAACCAACACATCCGAATTCACTCAGGTGATAAACCGTTCGGTTGTCCGTATCCGGAATGTGGCAAAAAGTTCCGTCAAAAGGCCATTTTGAATCAGCACGTGCGCACCCACCAAGGCGAGCGATCGATCATTGATTATTCTTACTTCTGCCTAATTTTCTTTTCTGCTTCTTCCTTGTGCAACATTTTATTTTGCCTAATTTTGGATCTTCTAATAACCATTTATGTTTCTGGAAATTTTTAATAGTTGAAGCTTGAAGGCTTCTTGTCTGATCTTTTTGATTGCAGCAGCCAAGCTTCAGCTACCAGCCTTTCCTATCTTTATAAACTAATTTTTTTTATACGATTGCTTTCAAATTTTCGTTTAATTCTTTGAATTTTATAACCATTAACATATTCATTTCATTTAAATTCCAAAAACCAAATCATCTAATTGGCCCAAATGTTTCGGAATCTTTTTTCTAAATTTCAATCAAATAAATAAGGCAATTTACCCGATTCACAAATCGGATGCTAGTGTACCGATCAAGCCTAAAATTCTGAACTTACCCAAATTACAGATGTCTCACCTCATCTGATTTTCAAAAATGGACCACACGCAACGTTGTGGCCTCAGGATGTGCCGTATCCGCCGGAACAGGAAGGACAACCCAAAGACGAACAAGCATTTGGCGACGAAGCTTCCCAAGGAACGCCGGAATCTCGGGAGTGCTTCTCTCCAGGAGGAACCCTACAGTATTCATCGTACTTTAAGGATACCAAGGGTGTCAATCATTCTATTTTCGGCAACAACATACCTTATCTCAACAAAGCATCCAGCGGAAAGATGATGCTCCCCGATGTTATCCAACATGGACGATCAGCTGGCATGCCATTGTACGTGCGTTGTCCTATTTGCCAGAAGGAGTTCAAACAAAAGAGCACGCTTCTACAACACGGCTGCATTCATATTGAATCGCGACCCTACCCATGCCCGGAATGTGGCAAACGCTTCCGTCAGCAGTCTCATCTCACGCAACATTTAAGAATCCATACGAACGAGAAACCCTTCGGTTGCCCATACTGCCCACGGTTCTTCCGGCAGCGAACGATTCTTAATCAGGTAATGATCAGTGATTGCTTCCAAATTCAAAACATACATGATTTGAATCTTCTATTCTACTCTTCACAGCATATTCGCATCCACACCGGTGAGAAACCATACAAATGTACCCAATGCGGCAAGGACTTCCGACAGAAAGCCATCCTTGATCAGCACACCAGGACGCACCAGGTAGTTGTAAAATTATGATTTAAAATATTGTACAAATGGACAATAATTTCATCAATCGATGTCAAGAATGATCATGCCTCCAAGAAGCGCACAACGTGTTGTACATTAACTCCAGATCTGTCAGCCAGCAAAAATGCAGTGAATTACAATCTATATCGTGTCCGAATTTGGCACACAATGGTAGGGTAATTAATGGCTTTCTCATCGTCTCTTTTTTTTTTTTTCCTTTATGACCAAATCTTTGAAGATTTGTGAGAACCGAAATTCACACACTCGCTCACCTCTGTGCGAACAATGCAGCAAGCTTCAATCAACAAGGACTTGCTTGTGCATACTTATTGCAAGTGAGCTGGAAAAAAAAAATGAAATCGGAAAACGCTCGCGAGATATAATTTATGATAACACAAATTTGTCAGGAATGAGAATGCAGAAAATCAACCCAGCTTCAGCCTTGAACTGCACAGAAATATGGGTTCGAAAAATTCGCTTCGATTGAGTGAGAATAGTGTATCATCAATCATCCCGTGTGCCAAAACAAATTCAGGCAAAATTCAAATTTCAGCGAGTTCATGGTTGGAAATTGTTTTAAACTGGTCTGGCCAAAGTGTGGCTTTATCAGCGCTACCGTGGTAACTTGATCCTCGCCTGGTTTTAGGGGCGCACAAATCGATTTTCATTCAAAAGAACTATCTTATTGAACATTTTGCGTTTAATTTAGAGGAAATGGCTCTAATGTTGACCTATGAATTTATAACTCGACAATACAATTTACAAAAATGCTTAAGGGCCACATCAGAGCCTTCTTCTTAGACTTTATATCCTTAGTGTGTTCACACTTTCACTGATTCAATTTACTTTGATGCATTTTCGAAAAATTCAAATGTAGTTTTTTTCGACGCATCATTTCAGATTGCAAAAAGCTCGCGTCATTCTATTCCTTTTGCTAGTTTACACAAAATGACGCGAGCTTTTTGCGATATGAAATGATGCGTCGAAAAAAACTGCATTTGAATTTTTCGAAAATGCATCAAAGTAAATTGAACCTTGAGAGCTTTCTATCATGTTTGCATTAGTATTATTGTGCGGTAAGTACAATCATACTCTATGCCCAGGGAAGTCGAGAAATTTTCCCCGAAAAATTCCTAGATCAGATCGATGACTTCTTTCGATGATTTCTAGAAAGTTAATGCTCGCCAACGAAAATCAACAACACCATCGGGTAAGGGAAGACTTCCCCTACTCTACGGTTATGTTGGTTTGCGTGGGCGTGCCTTGAATTTCTAGAAATCATCGATAGAAGTCATTGTTTACAAAGGCTGTTACGCCCTAATTCCAGCCCTATCTAGATTTATTTAGCCCGCAGAAGGAATATTAATCATAAGGCATAATAAACTACTGATAGACCTGATTCTCTGATTCATAAATCTTGTTTTTACATTTTGAGCTAGTCTAACATATGTCTAATATTCGTACTAGAGAAAAGTCATTAAATGGATAGTTCAAGAATAAAGCCTGAAACGGATTGTTTGTATAATATGTTCAATAAGTTGATTTTTAAGCGGATGGCGATATTGCCCCATTGGCGAAATTTCCCCCTTTTTCCCTAATAATACAGTCATTCCATAGCAAAAGGGTATAGTGGTTCTCAGAATTTCGTAAAAATTGATAGTGTTTTTCCTTATCGCAGAATTAGACCCGTATTTTTATTTTATTTTGTCACTAGGGTGACCATTTCCATATGAAGGTGGTCCAAAAAAAGTATTTTTTTAAATGACTTATGAATTAAATGATTTTAAAGATCAAAATATCAAATGAAAGGAAATTTAAAATATTTTTTAGAAAAAATATAATGAAACTCAATATGTTTTTATATTTTTCCTTGAAAATTTAGGATTTTTTACACAACATATCAAAAAATCAGCGATGTGCTTTTTTTCATTGAGTTATATTTTTTTGAAGTTATCAAGTTTTGGGTTTTCGCTCAAATAAATATAGATGAAATCAAATAGGTATAGATTATGTGACAATGTTAGCTATTATTAATGGAGACGCATGGTGACCTAGTCGCATAGGAGTATTGAGCAAAATCCCAAGCTTGATAACTTAAAAAATAAATAACTCAAAAACGAAAAAAAAAACACATCGCTGATTGTTTAATATGTAGTGTAAAAAAGCCTAAATTTTTTAAACAAAAACAATTTTTTGGACCACCCTAACATGGGTCACCCTTATGACGAAATAAAAAATGCGGGTCTAATATTTGCGATAAGGAACAAAACTACCAATTTTTACGAAATTCTGAGAACCACTATATCGTTTTGTTATGGAATGGCTGAATATTTAAAACCGTCGTTTTTTTTTCAAAGTATTTATTTGGTAGGCTCAATGTCTCTTGGAGCTAAACGGAGCCCAGGAACAATTTTTTAACATTAAGTTCATAATTTATTTTTCTCCAATTCATTTTTTTTCTGCATGTCTTCGTATGCCACCAGATCCGCCCAATGTTTTTGTCGTTGCTGGCACTAGGTCAGTTCGGGTTCAGGCTTCGTTTTAGATCTACGGGGTTACCACATCTATTTTCATCACCTCCTCATGCAGCACCTCTATTACTTCGCCTGTTTTCTAATTGTTGCTGTCCAACGATGCACCTCCAACCAAAACACTAGCGTACGTTCTGCTATCCGACAAGCTGTCTTCACTTTGTTCCTTGCCCTGGTCAGCATTTTTCCGTCCTGTTTGTCCTGCGTTTTTTCTTCTTGCGGTTGGTTCCTTCCATTTGGAACAGAAATTAATCTGGTGTCCCTCCGCTTTACATAGAAAACATTTCTCCTTATTCCCAGCATAGAACATATTCCCTTTTCGATTGAGTATATTAAGGTACAATTTAATTTGGGGTGAAGTACGAGCGATTAATTTTCTATTATGCTACTGGAAAGGTACGGATGTTTCTTTTCGGGGACAATGGTGTGCGAGGTGTATTCATGGACGTGAAAAAGGAGATTTTTTCCTCGCTTAAAGTTCAATTTATATTTCTATTCTACACAATTTACATCTTACTATTCTACACAATGACTGCCTGATTCCAGCAAAGATAAAAGAGTCTCATCAAAGCAACTTCAAAACTTCACATCATTCAAATTCACATCGTTCAAATAATCTAAATGAAATGTGTGTAATGCTCAAACTGTTCAGAATCTTGTCCTAGTTAGTCTCCCAAAATTTGAATTATTATTTTTTAGAAACTGAATTTACACAAACCATTTAACATTTGGCAATTTCTATGGGTAAATTTAACTTTTTGTTAATTACATTCTAGCATATTGCTGTTAGAAAAAGTGTTATTTTTATTCTTGAATCAAATTGTCCACCAAAAGTGACAAAGACATGCTCTTTTTTTAGCTATTTGCTTCGCGCCTTAATCACCATTGTTGCCTGCTGAGCAGTTGATTGAGGTTTCAACAGGTTCCCAACGTCTTCAGTTATTAAAATTGTGCATTTAACTGATAATCAAAGCGACATTTATCGCTGGCACCACTGATCTCCCTATGTCTCTAATGTATCTAATGACTTCGGAAGTCGCTAGTACGGCTAGCGAACTTCAATGCTTTTTTATTATTTCGCACTAAACGACGAGCGAGAGCTTTTTCCAATCTGAAATTATGTCTCAAAGAAAACCATTTTTTTAATTTTTATTTACTCAGTAGGTTATTTTCATCTTAATCGAAAGCAAAGTTGTACTTAAGTGAGAAAATTCTAGCTATGTAACATTTTATCACAGCAATGTGGCGAATGGGTAGGAAATTATGAACGAAAATTTTGGTATTCCCATGGTAATTTCCACAAAATCTTCCTATGGCTTGTGTTGAACTAGTTTTCAGCCAAACGAGCTCAAATTGTGGACCCAAGTTGGGACTGTTTCAAAATTTCCATCAGTCTAGTGGTTACTGGCTGGTAGCTTACTTCAAGAGCAAATTTTCATTATGTCGAAAGTAACAATAAATGTAAACAAAGTCTAGCTATCAGTGTCAATCGATGCTCCTGCTATTACACTATATACTGCCCGAATATAGGATCACATCCCATTTTTAAATTTATTTACCAGTCAAATTGTTTTTGACGTAATCACCTTCCGATCAAAATATTTTTCGATGTTACTTAAGTCACCCGATTTCTATGGAGATGCCGTTTGTCTTAAGTAACAGCGCAGATAAATCCGTGAAAAGTGTATATTCGTCGTTTTGCTTTCTCATTATTAAATTGAATAAATCGAACTGTTTGTTGCTAAGATGATTTCGGTGGTCCTAAAATGATAAATGGGCTACACGTAAGGAATAACTTTTGACTCAAAACCACTATTTTTTTTAGCATGAAAGCTAGCGATCTGCTTTGTATGATTAAAACCCTGCTTAATATTTTAAACATTGCTATCATTATGCAAATATATGTGTTCAATTGGAAATGGGAATAACTTTTCGGTCATCAAAACAAAACTTTATTTTTCTCGGATCGGTGCGAATGTTGCTTTCGACATAACGAAAATTTGATCTTGACTTAAAAAACATACCCGGGAGGAACTTGCAACCTGCTACATCGGCACCGGCCCACCTGAAATACTACTACTGTTAAGCTTAACTAGTCAGTGCCTTGGTTTCCTCATAACTGGCCCAGTATCTTCTAGTCGTAAACCTCTGCCGATAGAGTGAAGGTCATATCCTGACCATGCCAGACACAAATTCCGGTAATTGTGCTGATATCGTCCTCACCCAAGAGACACACGGAATCAGACTGTAGCTCATGAATACCTTGGTCAGGTCTTCAGGGTATTTTAATACATTTTATCACTTCACTTTCTTATGGAGAAGTGTCCCGGGTCGAACATCTCAAAGTTGAACGTACCCTTTGACATTGTATCGAATGGATCCTTGGATTTTGATTCTTCGGCTAGTCATTTCGGCGGGATCCATTCCCAAGTAACATAGCAAGTTTTATCATAAAACCCAAATGGTTACTTGGGATTCCTTCAGCCGCTCCGGTTTCCTGCTTCTCTTTTTTAACCGGGACCGGCTTGAGCATCTTTTTCTCCTTCATTTCCTTTTGATTCTGACCTGGAAATGCTACGAGTAGTATGAACAGTACATAATTTGAAACAAGATTTTTATTTTATTCGCAAATGTCTCACTTATTAGGCACTAATCATGTAATTTTCTATCGATTTAGGGCGATCGACCATTCTGTTGTCCAATGCCGAACTGCCGGAGGCGCTTTGCAACCGAACAGGAAGTCAAAAAGCACATCGATAATCATATGAACCCGCATTCATCCAAGTCTCGGAAGCTGGCAACGATGGCAGCTCTGAACAACAACAACAATAACAACAACAACAACAACAACAACAACAACAACAACAATAACAACAACAACAACAACAACAACAATAATAATAATAACAACAACAACAACAATAATAATAACAACAACAATGGCATGCTGGAGCAAAAGGTATCACCCACCTTCCTGATGGATAAGCAAAATAATCTAATTCAACGAATGGGACCGGTTAAGCACGAGTTGTATTTCCCTCAGTGCTACGGAACAGCGTTTACTCAACCGTTTGTGGCCGGTACAGCAGTTGTAGCAGCAAATACAGCAGCCACAGTTAACGGAAACACTGGCGCAGCGGCTTCTAGTGTTCCACCTGGCAGCAATACAGCCAATGGACCCGATCCAATTTCGCAACAGACGCACACTACGGCAACAGTCACGGCGGTTCCGGCGTCAGTAGCAGCGGTAATTACAGCTCCAACTCCGCAAGCCGTGGTAGCTCAGTGACATCCAATAGGAGAACAGCAAATACCGGTCCCAGTACCGGTACCTCCACCACCACTACCTGTTCCACCGGCCCTGATAGCCATTCACAACTAGAAGAGCGATCTACACTCAAAGCTGGATCGGAGGAGAGAATCTACACACACTGCGGTTTCTTAAAATAATATATCACGTAACGAAGCATAAAAGCAATTACCTATTTCTAAGATATTGGTGCAAATTTTTCACTTTCCAAAGTGTGATGGCATATACAAAAGGACTAATGTGTGACTGTGATAATCACAACCATTCATGACTGAACATTCAGCTTTTGGAGGAACACACGTACGAGACAAGCACTGATCGGTGGCAAATAGGAATCGAAACCAAAGACTGACTGTTGGGTGGGGATTCGCTTTTTAAATATGGAAACACATCGTATACGACATGAGCTTTTTAGATACAGTAAAACAGGAGGTGAAAAATTTGCACATTAACTTGAGTGAAACTTACATCTGACAGATGGAGATGCTATTTCAAACGAACTCTACTCGACGGTAACGCTTAGAAGTGCATTCCTAGAAGGACATGCAAAGCGTATTTCGTGTGTCTAGAATTAAGAAGAAAGGGGGAAATTCAAAATCAACCGGAATTCTTCAACTGAAGAATCCAAACATGCTAAAGCAGTTGTTACCAGTAAGATAATGCCAAATTAACTACAACATATGAATTTCGACTTTTCCGCTAAGCTCAACTGATGCCCGATGAACAAAAAAATGATCTAAAAATAAATCGTAAGAGGGTAGCTATCCATGAGATTAAACTCAATAATGTTTAAGGAACAAGAGTGCCTAGCTGTTGTACATTAGAAGTTTTCCATTCGTTTCCTTTGCGGTAAACTGCAGGAATAAATACCCAACTTCAAAATGCAGTCAAACGCAGACGGTCAAGAAAAATACCTCCACTACTAACAAAGAGAAAGAAAACGACTGTAAATGAACAAAACAAATCTTACTAAACATAGAGCAACTGAAGAAACAAAACATAGGTATATAACTTCCACAATAACAAAACAGATGGTGCTATTTTTATTATAAACTTTTTTAACAGTGGAAAACTTTATTAAGTAAATAACAGAACAGAAATAGTTAATTGATTAAAACAATTGATCACATAACCCATACAATAGAATCAACAAAGCATAACAAACAATAAACAGAAAACAATAGGAAAATTAAGTTATACAAACTCAAACACACCAGCCAACAATAGTTAAAGCAAGCAAACTAGAACAATATGAAATGCAACATTTATTGTTATATTTATATTGCCATTTAAACAAAACCACAATACAGCCAATATGGATGACACAAGCAGAACATGCTGAAAAGCAGGAACAGAGACTACAATCAAATATTTACCGATGTTTCCTTTTTTATCCTACATATACAGATCATAACATAGCAAAGCAAACAATAGTAAACGTAACAAAGTAATTTTGAACGTACTTTATTTAGAACAGGTTTACTTTCAGTGCAACTGCAGAGAAATATTGTCTATTGTTTACTAAATTGTTTTCTGTCAAAACTCATACTCGCAGAACATATACACACAAGCACAAGAACACTCATCCATACCAGACGGCGCATAACTGTTGGTGTGATTTTTTTCAAATATCGCAAACCAATTATTTACCGGTGATAGACAGAAACAGAACACAAACTTACGTCGTCAACTAACTAAGATTAAGTAAATTACTACATAATGTGAAGTGAATCGTTCACAAATCAACAATGAAGTGGGTTTTTATTCTTACAATAGGCGAAGAAACAGCAATTCGAAGGAAACGAATGGCAAAAAAATATAGTTCTAAGGGATTCGACTTGCCATAAAAGTAACGCAGTGGCTGCATGGCGATCCTGATTTGTTGATATTTTGTGTAGAAGGGATGCCAAAAGTCAGCAGGTTGGTGTTCAAGGATTGAAAGAACATCAGAATATTGGTAAGTTTATCATAGTTCCAATTAGGATTGCGTATGTTTATTTCTTTTCACAATTCTGAATTGATATTATAAATCTAAATAGGGTTCTAAACAGGGTAACATTGAAGTAGGGTTGCTCCAACTCACTTCGCTATAAAAAAAGGGTTTTTTTGAATTATGGATCCATTGGATGCTATACTGATATTTTTCTAATTGTAAGCAGGCCTGAACATACTCATTACAGCTAAAATACTACTTTTCGAAATTATGATTTGTCTATGTAAGATGCAAGTAGAGGAGGTTAAGTTTGTGTTTGACACATAAAATCTGTCTAGTGTTATGTGTGTCATACACAAACTTTACCTCTTGCATTTTAATTATAAGCATTATTATTAATATATCTCATAGTTTCTTAATTTCGAAAATTATTATTTTAGCTATAATGAGTATGTTCAAGCCTATTTGTAAGTTACAACAAGAGGTTGAAAAGTATGCGTTTAACACTTAAAATCTGTCAATTTCGCTTTCAGAGTGTCACAATCAGCGATTTTATGATTCGAGAGCGACACAAACTTTTCAACCTATTCTTGTAACTTATATGTTCAAAATCTCAAATATTCAATGATTCAATAATTCCGCAAAACCTTTTTTTTATCAAAGTGAGTCGAAGGAGAGCTGCATCTAAGAACACCCTAAATTCAATCAGATCAACAAAACCAATATATTGCATACATACTGAAAGCTCTTCAATTTTTGAACTGCTCTGTAGCCACGCAGATCGAAAAATCTAAGAAAGATATTTAGTAAGTAGCAAACAATATATAACATAAACACTAAATAAACAAGTTTCACTCGAAAGCATAGATAAGTGAAGTGAATTTCTTTAGTTTCTTTTTCATTTAATCGTTTGAAATTTTTCGTTGATCTTTCTCGAAACAAAAATTCAAAAACCAAAAAATTTAACATCACATTATTCTAGGAAAAAAGTTTAGGCAAAATCAAAAAAATTTAAACAAAAACCAAAATGAAAATTTGAGAAGACTAAAGACTCGTGATATCTGACGTTTAGGCCAATTTTAAGAATAATTCTATTATCTTTATTATACTACTACCATACAACATGTGTGTATGTGTGTTGGAAAATCAACGAAACGTTTCGGGACACAAGCAAACACATTGTGAGAATGCAGTTCGAATAAAAGACAATCCAATCGAATCAGATTGTGAAACACAAGCGGAAAACGTGCGGCACTTGCAACAAGTACGAGACGACGATTTCACTAGATGTCACAAGCAAAAGAAGCAAGTGAAGAGTGAGATTTATTTTCATTTTATGTTTACACGTTTTTAACGTATCATTTTAATCATTAACTAATAATCATTAGGCGTGAAGTCAAAAGAGAAAACTGAATCTGTGATACAAAAATGCTCTAAATTAGCCATTTTATTTTTGCGTCTCGGACATACTATTTTAAACAGATAAGTTACGTTTTTGTTAATATTGTAACGAGAAGAAAAGATACACTTTAGGAAAAAATTTATATACACTCAAAAAATACTGTATCGCGAGTCAGCAAAATTATTTTGGAACGACCAAAAAGAACGTTTAGGAAAAGTTTAGGCGAAAACATAAAAAAGTAATCTTTATCATTTCAACTTTACGTAATTTAAATGTTTTTATTATCTCTGTATGACTTCATACTATCATTTTGTTTTCCCTAAAGCGTCACGTGCCATAGATTTTATAAGTTTAATTTATGCAACATGTCTGATTAGTTTAGATGGTTCTATGGTGCAGCATTAATCATGCACAGGTTAGATCTAAGTTGAACGGCAAAAATAATCTTAATGTAAAAAAATCGTAATCACGAAGAAACTATATCTAAGCAATACATTTGTATACCACCTTAGAGATGAAGATTTAAGCGAATAAAGAACTTTTTTTTGTTTTCTGGATGAAGCGGATGATTTCTTCTACGGAAGTAATCTAACACATACGTTTGCATGTTCTGGAATACTAACAAAGATATATGTAGCTATCTCTAACATCCAATCAGCTAAACTAATATTTTCAAAATAATCAAACTGAAAGCAAATATTTTAATTATATTAACATTTGGTCAAAACAGTTCTCATGAAAAAACACATTAAGGTGACGGTAATATTATAATAAACCTAAGATAAAAAACAAATATCTAAATTCATAATTTTGATTATAGCGCCCCTTGTTTTAGGTGCGAAATGGCCGAATATCAGTTAACAATTTGGTGTAAAAATGAACTGTTAAAGAAGAAACGGTTAGTCATTCATCTAAGTTTTTGGCGAAAAGGCCACTAGAGGCAAGGCAACACCATAGTGATGGAATGACGGAAACGGCTCCCGCCAAAGTAAGCTTAATCTACGTATTCCAAGTATTTGTACTTAGTTTCATTTCAACGACATTTATTTCAGTGTCAATGAATCCATGGCCAGCCAAAGGGAGGTAATGAATTGGAATTTTTCAGAATTTTAATTTTGTTTATGGATATAAGACTTTTGAAAAAAAAAATGTGTGTGTGTGTTTACCATCCATCTCCCTTTTATGGAAGAAATTTGCCTGCACCTATTTTGATGATAAAGGGTGTTACGATCAAAATTTGGTCAAACAGGAATTACACGCATTTAATTTTTTATATATTTAAAAATCATATTGTTTTTCTTTTTTAAGTTCAATTAGTATTGCCAGGCCTTTCGTTTAACTCCTGCCATCAGATTCTGTACAGCCACTTTGTTTGCCACAGAACGCCAGTTTGCCTTAAAATGCTTCTCGCTTCCAACAGTTTTTTGGGTCTTCTTCAAGTTCCGCTTGACAATGGCCAATATTTTTCGATTGGGCGAAGCTCTGACGTTCTTGTCCTCGTGCACCACCTCCATGGCCTTTTTTCCGTAATGGCAGGATGCCAAATTCGGCCAAAACAGCACGGAACAATCGTGTTGCTTGGCCGGCGCCTGTGGTGTAGTGGTAAGCGTGACTGCTTTCTCGCCCCAATGGGTCTGGGT